CTTTTATGGTTGCTCCTATCCATATACCTATACGCAATCTCAGATGAAGGAGATGGGGGGGCTTTTACCCCTGGGCCAGAGAAGGGGGGCCCAAGCCCCCCCTCCTTCCCTTTCTTCTCGGGCGCCTGAACTCCTTCATGGAGGGCTTTTAAGCTTTTCACGTTTGCTGCAGGATGGTAATCCTCTTCTTCTGCTCACCCCCCCCCAGACAGAGAGGGGAAGAGCATCTCCATCCCCTTGGTCCCCCTCGCCCCCCTCGTCCTCCCCCTTTTTGGGGTCCCCCTTCTCGTTGGGCTTGTCGAAAATCTGCGAATCTACTCACTCTCCTTCCTGCCTTCCCTTCCGCCACCATCCTTTTCCCCCCCCCCCCCCCCCACCCACCCTCTCGTCGCCCTCCTCTTCCTCTCTTACTCCTCCCAGATCTCCTCCATCCTCGCACCCCAGGCGGCCTTCCCAAGTCGGGTGAGCATGCTGGTAGCAGTCTGGGGGATGGTAACGGGAGGGCAGGGCTGAAGCGATCGATGCTTGTGCTGCTCCAGTGGATCTCGAGGCTCGTCAACAAGCGGCTGGGGCTGCCGTGGCAGGTGAATTTTCACATGGTTCAGTGAGGGATGGCAAGGGACAACTAGGGAGGAGAGGGGAGGGGAGACGAACAAGTAGAAGGGGGGAGAGAGGACGGAGAAAGGACAAGAAAGTCGCTTTAGAAGAGGAGGGAAACAAAACACAAAGTTCAAGGGGAAGGGGTCCCAAGAGGAAAAGGAACGTTGGACGAGGGAGCGAGGGTAGGAAGGAAAGGAGGGAGGGAAGAAGAAATGGAAGGAGGGGTGACTGTGTTTTCTCCGCAGGTGAAAGCTGCATGGATGCTGGACGTGACCGTCACGACCTTTACGGAGGAAGGCTTGTAAGGGTACAGCACGTGCACTTGCTTCCTTCTCACGAGCCCGGTAGCAAGGAATGGGGACAATCGTTCCCGTCACTCTCCCGCCTCGACCAGACCGCCGGCTTCGTGTGCCTCATACTGTCCTTGCTCCCAGTGCTCCTGGTGCGTGCAGAGAGAGGGGATGGGGTGGGGAGAGGAGGAGAAGGAGGAGCAGGAGGATGGGTGGCAAGAGCAGGGCGGAGAGATGAGGAGGAAGAAGAAGAGGGGAGGGAAGAGGCATGGCTGAGACTAACCTTGTTGGCAGTTTGTCTTCAATATTTTCTCATGGCTGTTCGGATTCCAGTACATCCTCATCTCTGCCAGGTTTTTGGTCCTCTCTCACTCTTCCCCCCATTCTTCATGCTTCTTCTCCCTTTCCACAACTACCACAGCTCCTCCTCCTCCT